ATGCATCTCATTTTTGAATTCTTTTAATTTTCTTGATTTACTAATTTTAGTTTGATTCAATCGTCTTAGTAAGTATTGGCAGTAAATAATGTTATCATTAAAATTTATAGTGATACTAAATAATTCACTTATGCAATATCCTGATAATTTGTAGACGCTTTAACATAGTAAAAAAATTTGCCATTGGGGTCCATAGAGTCAGCAAATTAAATTTATTGGTTCATAAATGTGAACATTCTGGTGATAATTTGATTAGGTTTTCAAATTTGAATATGGAATATTTGTAATTTACAATTATTTTAAAAAATTTATCACTATTTTTGAATTAGTGCGATAAATAAATTTGATGAATCCTGCATGTTACCATTGTTGTTAAAACAATAATAATATGCAGAGTTCACAAAATTTATTATTGCACTAGTTCAAAAGTAGCGATAAATTGTAAAAACAATTTTTATAAGAAAATAAACGTATATTATAAGTATATCTATGAGGCTTTATAGCCTTTTTTTTTTTTTAAACTGTATACATTTAATAAGCAATGATGACTTCACAAACAGATGTTACTTCACAAACAGATGTTACTTCACAAACAGATGCTACTTCACAAAGAGAAGCTAAAGATCTACCTTGTATATTTGTTTCTCTTGCTATTAAATATCCAAATAACAAACTATTAAAATGTGGAATTACTGAAAAACCGAGATGGAAAAATGCATCATCAAAAGCAGCAGCAAAAAAAATAGCAATTTTGGCCCAATATTTTTCAGAATTAAATTTATTGCTCGATTCTTTAAATGATTATTCTCTATGCCAAATACATTATAATAGCTTCGTTGCTAAAAATTCTTTGTTTAATAAATTAAATGTAAATAATCAAATTTCTCTAGACTCAGAAAAAAATAATAATAAATTGTATAATTCTTGTGAAGTTCAAGTATCTTTACCTGATCCTGAATATAATAAACTTTTAACAAAAATTCATGAACTAGAGCATATTAACAGACAGTTATTATTCAAAAATGAATTATTAAAAAAAATTGGAAGAAAGGTTTAATAATCAGCAAGTCCTATCGAAGCCATAATTGATATTGCCAAAAAAGAGCAAAATAATTTATATGAAGATATAACTAATTTGATAGAAGATCATAATCGTTTTCATTTAGATAGTCTTTTAAATTATTCTTTTTCTCAATGGCTTAGTAAACGAAACCCTGTTGTTATAAAATTTATAGAATTTCTTACTCATAATGAAAATGATAATAAAAATCAATTCTCAGACGAAAAATTATTTAAATGTGCTGTGGCAGTTGATGTAATTTATAGAACGCGCTATCTAAAATATGTATCAGCAATAAACTTAGTAGCATCGGCAATTAAATATTCCATGGCAAGTTCTAAATCAATCGTTGATATAGATAACCATTTTATAAGTTTAGGTAGTTTTACTAAATTTATCAAATAGCAAGAAAATTTAGCAGGCGAACCTCAACCTTTTCCAAATGGGTTGATCGTTATGGTATTTGATAATGAGCAGAAAAGCCAAAAAAATTACTTAGACCGTGGCTATAATACTGTTGTTTATCATACAGTTACAAGTTTCGTTTTATTTAATTTTGATCTGATTAACCAAATACAAACCATCGAAAATTCTTGGTTACATGAAACTCTTAATACTATACAAATCGAGCAATTGTTTGATATCACTCCCGAAATACAAATATTAATTGATTAGCAACTTCACGATTATCTTTCTATTATCTTAACCAAAAGCATGCATTGAAAAAGGTGAAAATATAAATACTATTAATAATTTAATTACGAATCAAAAATAAAACTAGATAAAAAAATGGTGCTGTGAATATAGTAAGAATAATATTAATAATTCTAAGCGTAAATGCCCTTAATGCAATACGAAACTTCCTATAATCGCTAAAATTCAACAAGAATGTGACCAAATAATATCTAAAAAAAAGGATACAACCAAACCTTTAATTTGTAAATTTTACTATTCTGAAGTAAATGTTTCTAAAAATTCTACCGATTTAACTAATCCATTTAGCATAACCCAAATATCCAAACCTCAAAACAATATTAGTATAAACCCAAATTCTATTGCTAACATTCAAAAGGTTCTAAATTATATTAAATAAATTAGTGGAATTAACAAAGGTGAACGAAAATAGAGTGCAGTAGTTTGTGACGGAATTCCTTACCATTATACACAAAAGTTTAAAACTAATTATCCGGAAATTCTTTTAATACCTGGTCTGCTTCATGAGGAGATGAACATGTTGAAAGCTTTCATAGAGTTAAATTGGTATAAATAAAATTATTAAATTAAAAATAATTTTCCGATCAAGATCACGGAAGGATTAATTAATAATATTCTGATCTGTATATGAATAGGCAGAAACTTCGTTTCTGCGAATTCCCATTAAATAGAATATTATTATTACAAATTTACTATAGGTTATAGTGTAAGCACTTTTAGTCACATCAAATCTGTACAATTTCAGCATAACAACTAATTAGCTTTAAGTATATATATAATTCGTTGGTCATTAGTATAGCAGTATGCATGAAATTTTCACTATTCCTTAATGAATAAGCACAAATTTGTAAAAAAAAAAGATCTGTAATTTTGTAAATATATACTATCAAGTTACATATTTTTTTTTTTTACAAATTTGCATAAGAAATAAGAATTTTGGATGTTTTTAAAGTGTTCACACCAGAATACAGTAATATATATAGTGCCTATAGTTGGTGGTAGAATTAATTTTACAAATTAATATAGTTACAGCACATGCCATATTTTTTGTCATAATTGCCAGCTTTACAATGTAACAACGTTACGGCATTATGAAGTTATGACATATAATATTCAAGTATACTATTAGTAAAATGCTGTAATTGTCGTAATTCAATAATTCTACCACCAACTATAATAGTGCTCTATATATATTACAGATATATATTAAGATTAGATTAGATTTTGAATATGTGTAGTTATATGTAAAATTAGATATTACTCAATTTTATTTAATATACCTACATATTAGTTATCACACCTATTGGTTACAAATAGAGATCCTCATAATACAATTATATAATAATATATAATATATTATAAATCTAGGGCCATTGATCTATGATATTTTGCGCAATGTCAAGGATACAAAACTGAAAACCAGTTGGGTTATTTTAAAAAATGTGCAGACCATCACAAAGCATAGGATTCAGTTTGTAATATTTATCGGCATTCAATGGCAATGGAACTAGTTTGGCCTTATGTCATTACAGACTCTAATCTGACCATTAATGGATATCTTAACTGGGTTAAAAATCAAAAAGATGAATTATATAAATTAAAATATGAACAAGTATATTAACAATTCATAAATATAAATATTTAGAAAACTTTATACTTAATTTTTTTTTTTATAGATATTTTTGTATCTACAAGGCCGTAGTAAATTTTCATAATGGTGTTAGATCTAATCAACCTTTATTTAGATTAGCAGCTCGCAGAGTATTTGCTCCAATTTGGTCTGCCAAAAGACATCCTATTTATCGAGAAATCAAAGTAGCTAATGAGGAACAACTAATGTGCCTTCACCCTGAAATACGAAATCTAATTGAATTAAATTTAGCTATATCATGATCAGGGTGGTCAAATTAACATCAAGGTTTAGATATTATACTTGAGGAAGTAAATAAAATGCTAAAAACACTTACTCCACCTATACTGACTCAAAAACATTGGAATATGGCAGCGAGAAATTGTATGAAATTCATAAAGGTAAAATAATAAATTTGAGTATTGCCAAGAAAATGAGACTTCGGGCTATCATTTATTCTTCAAGCCTGAAGTCTTATTTTCTTTTGGCAGCGATTATTTAATATCTTAATTGTTATCTAGAGGTTGGAACCGAATTTATTTTTACAATTCAGATTTAATTTTCTGACTTCAACTTAAACTGGTTTTAACCCGAATTTAAATAAACCCAGGTAATTCAGTTTTGCGATTTTAATAAACTCGTAAAACCGAATCAACCCGAATTTAAAAAAACCGGTTTTTGCAGTTGTAATAAACTCGTAAATTCAGATCAACCCGAATTTAATAAACCCGATAATAAAATTTTAATACTTATTTTGAGCTTGGCTATTTTCACTTTCGAAGAGATATTTACAAAGTGTAAACAGGGGGAAATATCGAACGTCATAAAATCGTTACACAATTGATAAAAATTTTTTTTATATATTATTTTACAATACTTTTTTGGAAGGCTCGCTTGACTTATCTTTTATATGAATATTGAAAATAATTAAACAAATATGAAGCTCTCACTTTGCTTTACAACATATTTTTTGAATTTCCTTGAATCCTATGGTTTCGTCTTTTTGTAAATTTCGCAATTTGATTGGTTAACTAATCCCGTAGTGATATTTTGGCTGGTCGATACAATGAGTAATCTGTGTAATGGAGAATAAAAATCATATCTATATTTAGATGTTTCCTCCTGTTCAAAGTGTATGGATTAGTGGAGAAAGAAATGGGTGTACAGCCTCAAAATCTAATACCTGATTGTTTGGCGTGACCAAGGCTACCACATCTTGCTTACATCATAAAAGTGATGACCAAAAACTATTATATTTATCGATAACTATAACAGCAAGATTGAAGCTCTAAATTGACAAGTATTGATCGAGGCATAAAGAGTTTCGCTCCGAGTATTTAGAGTCTGGGAGTCCTGTGAGTTGAGAAAGTGTGACTACTAAATTTAACACTAAAATTAAAATAACAACTAGTCTAAATACTAAAATAGTATATGTGGAAACCTCAAGACTCTAAAACCTTGAGTGGTAGGCTTCGAGTAGAGGCGTGGAAAGACTTAGACTAAGATTCAAGGTCCTTAGGGTCTTGGAATAATGTTATTGAGTCTTGGATAAGTCCTCCTAGTCCTTTCACCTCTTAATTACTTTTGTATAATAATATGGAAGGCCGAAATAGTATGGTAAAATACGTACCTTTTAAAAAACAATACTAATCCCCGATCACTATATCAAGATCACAGGTAATTATTATTACTTATACGAATTTGGTCACCCATACCATTACCATTACTTGACACATTGCCCGTTCATTTTTAGGAGTTCAAAATAAGCAAATTAAAACGACAAAGCTTAAAAATATTCGATTTTTCATTTTTATTAAATTTGATAAATCTGATTTTATTAAATTCAATTTTTCGGGTTAATTTGGTTTTATTAAATTTGGTAAATCCGGTTTTATTAAATTTGATTTTTCAGGTTTATTCAGGTTTATTAAATTCGATAAATCCGGTTTTATTAAATCCAAATATAAAATATCCGAATCGGGTTGAACCAGTTTTAAATTCGGGTACAACAATTCGGTTCCAATCTCTATTGTTACCATAATTTTCATCTTTGGCAACAGTTGCGAAAAAGATTATTTGCTACAATCAGATATGCTGATAATGAAAGTGCTAGTCCACAAACACATCCAGGTGGTTCCGAATTCAATTAAGGAAAACTGGTTTTCTAAATCCAAATGAAGAGAATCGTCTCTTTGAGAATTTGGGCGGGTACAATAAGTTAAACAAAAAAATAAAAGCATTTAGTATTACAGCTCAAGCCTGGCATATAAAATATATCAAAGAAAAATTAAATTCAAAAAAACCATTAGTCTCTTATCCTATTCTTATTACTATTGATGAAGAACAAATGCAAACAGAAGAATGTTCAATGAAAAAAGAAGAATTGATCATTGTTATTAAATCACTAATTGGATCTTTAAATGAAACTAATCGGCCACAATTCAAGGGATTAAAAACAAAAAAAAAAGAAGAATTATTAGTTATTCTACAACAAGTTCAAGATTTGATTAATGACAATGAGATCGATTAAATAAAAAAACTAAATATAGCAAATTACCTTACAAATTATATTAAAACTCTAAGACTCTTAACCACATACAAGTTATTATTAAGGTTTTTTTTCATTTAACAAATCTATAAAATATTATCTGTTATGTTAATAAATAAAAACCAGATTAAAATATTATACCTAAAGTCTTCTCTTAAAACAATATAAAAATCTTCAGTAGGTTTAGGCCGCAGATAAGTTACTAGGTACACTTAGTTTCTAGGTCTTCTTAGCTATATGTCTGAGTTCTTATTCTTAGCACTAGGCTTAAAATATAAAACCTTTTTCAGTCATGTAAAAAGTTTTTATTAAGTTTAATAAAGATAAGAGCAAGGTCTCACCTTAAATATTAAAAAAAAAAAAAGTTATACTATATTTAACGCGAACCTTAAAATTTTATTTAATAAAAAAAGGTTTTATTTATTCGAACTTTTAAATTTTTACCCAAATAAATAAGTTATTTATTTATTTAAGCCATGATGGCTTTGAACAAGTTATTTCTTGAAATTTTATATCTACATATTTTCTTATTTCATAGTAAAGATACTATTGACGTTCTTTTGATAAAGTTTTTAAAGGAATTTTATCAAGAACTTCATTAATGTTGAACCTATTTTTTAGAATATTAAATTTGCTATAGATGCCATAATACCTTTTCCAGATCTTTGAAAGTAAATAAAAAATAATTATACTTTAAAATCTCAGGTAGCTCTTTAAAATGTAGTTTTAAATTTAGAAAAGTTGTAATATGCCCATTTTTCACCATCATTATAACATAATCCATTATTGGCACCATTATTTGTTAACTTATTAATTACTTTTTGAACATCGTTTACTGTATTGATAACTGTTTTTCAAAAAAGTGTTTTAATATTACCAAAATATCTATCGCATATAAATTTCGTATGTTTAGTTACTATAAAATTTACCTCAACCGTATCATACATGCCAACTAATATAAGCCAATACCAAAAGTGTAGTGAAAAATTATTTTTATTTTGTGCAGAGCAATTGTTACAAGTTACTTTTAAATGTTTTTCATAATTATAAAATTGTTGCAATCCATTATAAACAAGATTAATTGTTGTATTTGCTCCTTTACCTGTTTCTTGGGGAAATTCATTCTCAGCAATTATATAATTTAATTGTTGAGCTGGATTTGTCCAATATTACAAATACCAAAAATATAAGCCTGAAGTGCAGATTTAAAATATGTTGTACCGATTTGTTGAGGGGAATAACATTTTGTACCTAATCGTAATATATATGCATTGTATTTGGTAATATTGTACTTGTTAAAATATTATTATGATAGTATTCTTGTTCAATTTCTGCTTTTTATTTATGATTATCTAAACTTTTTTGAATTAATTCTTTTTTCTCATTATAATTTGTACTTCAAATTTCAGCCTTTAAAGTTTTACAAGTTTCACATAAATCTGTACCAGGTATTATAAATTTAATACGTAGGCAGTATGATAAGTCTTGTTAGTAGATTCATATCTTGATCATTTTTAAAGATACAGGTTTAAGTTATATATATATAAATATAGCGGTTATAATAAATTTGTAAAAAAAATTTTAGCTAGTTTTGATTAATTAGTTGTTGAAAAAATTTATTTTTAAATTTATTAACTTAACCAATTGAAATTTATTAATATAAAAATTTAAATTAAATTATTTGTATTAAAAATT